TGGCCTGGGGGAGCTTGAGAACATTTTCATAGTAGAAAGCGGTTCATTCTTTAGCACTCTGTACCTCATGTAAAAGATTCTCCAGAGTTTCCTTATCTTAGAACAGAATCGATTTTTGACCACAATTAAGATTGAACACAAATCTTTTCTGATTGATCAGGCTCGAGTTCTGGAAAATAACAGTCCGGTGGTTGCTGAGGCAGCCAGTCCTCACCCATGGCAGTGGGCATGATAGGTGCCTCTGCCACCCTCCAGGGGCCTCTGACTTTGGTAAATAGTTTAAATTTAGCAGCTAAAGCTCACATCTTCATCCCGCAGCCACAGATTTGAGGCTGGAGCTAAGGCCCCTGACCTGGGGCCTTTTACGCTCATCCTTAACACAACTTCCTCAGTGTAGGTTGGTTAACCAGGTCTCAGCAAAGCAGTGATGAAGGCACCTGCAGAGCGCACCCCAGCCTGTCTTTCAGCCTTTGTTTGTGCCCCACACTTTGCTCTTTCTCATGCTGAGCCCCATGTGGGCTCCCCAGGGCCCAGCAGCTGCGCTTTGTGTCACCATTGTCACGTGTCTTGTTGCTGGTTTTTGTATGGTGTGTGTCTGTATCAGTCTGCCTCTGTTCACTTTCTCATTTGTAGAGAACACTGAAAACCACTCTGAAACACCGGCAGTTCCTGCTCTACCTCCTTCAGCTCCTCCTAAGCCTAAGCCCAAACCTAAACCCAAAAAAACACCTGTGCCTCCAAAAGGGGCCACGACTGGGGCCAGCCACAAAGGTGATGAAGTGCCTCCCATTAAAAAAAATACCAAGGCTCCTGGTAAGCAGGCCCCCGTCCCTCCACCCAAGCCAACAAGCCGAAACACAACTCGAGAGGCTGGTGAGTATGCCCCAGCACCCCGGGACTCAGTCTAGGGTGCTTGGCTCTGGGCGGGGGGCTCATTGTTCCTTCCAGGTGTCGTGATCTTTTGAGGTCTTAGTACAGAGCACCACTGGATTCAGCTTTGACACAAAGAAGGCCCGGGAAGTTCCTTTGTTGCTGTCTAACAAAGGAGAGCCAACCGGTGATTAGTTCACCACATTAGTTGTTGGGTAAATATGCCTCTTTTATCTTAGTATCCATTGTCTGCACATGAGACCCAGCTGAAGGGTACAGGGGGAGTGCCTGATGAATGATAATGATCTGCTAGAACATTATTTAGACATTCACTGCCCTTCTGCCTATTTGAGTTTATGAATAGCTTTTTGGCTTGGGGTTTCTTTCAAAATATCTTAGGTGTGCATAAAGACACATCTTTGACATATCTGCTGGATATTAGTATGTTAAATTTTCAGCAACCACGGTCCTCTCTCTTCTGATAAATGGCAAGGGTTCATATCACTTGGTTCAGCTCCACCCTGCTACTTTCTACCGCAGTCAGAGCTATTTCAGTGGCCTTGAAAGGTACGTGCCTGGTTCCCCACCAGCCTCTGGAGACTTCAGTGTGTTATAAGACAAAGCATCTAGAGTGGTGTGGTTACAAGTCGCTATTAGAGATCACCAGCAGCTGCTTGACTGATCGGCAGTAACTTCATACAATATGTATCCAGCCTTCCTTTCCAATCACATATGCTTAGAGCAAAGTGGAACTGCCATTCTTCTAGTAAAGTGGAATAAAGATGCTTACCCTGTCATCTAGCTTTTAAAAGGACATTACGCAAAGCCCACAAGCTCAGTGCCTTTCCCCATTGTCATGTGCATAAGAATTCTCCTGTGCAAATCTTATTTTCCTTAAAATCAGCAGCAGCTTTCTAGCAGTTGACAACCAGGATTTGGCTTGGTGTTGATCTCTTCGCCCTCATAATTTTTACCCACAATGCTTACATTCAGAGTGATTTAGTTGACAGTATCCACGTATAACAGATCTCGGGATGCAAATAGATGTCCCTCTCCCTGTGTTCCTCTCTTCCTACCTTTGAACGTCAGCGTCGGGGTCTCTTCTAATAAGCTCTAAGATGAAATGTTTCGGAGTGATGCGCCTGCAGTGCCCATGGGCCGTCTCCTCCGGGAGCCCCTGTCCTCACTCATCAGCGTCCGTGCTGCCTACCACTCCCTGGGAGCAGTGTTGAAGTGAGGCAGGCACTGAGCTGCTTCTTAAAGAGAGCCCCCAACCCTCACTCTGTCGCTGGGGATTAAGGTCTCGTCTCGCACACACTTCCCCACTTCTTCATTCCCCGCATGGTATCAGCTTGCCATGGACTTGGCTTGGACTCTCTTTACTTCCCTCAGAAGAAAGCTGATGATGCATGCAAGGGCACGGGACCGTTTTCATGAGAGACTTTGAGTTATTTCCAGATATTTTACTCGAAGATTTATTCATAGACTCATGATATTCCTAAGAGAATAGTACAGTAATTTTAGTCTTTGTATCATAGGAGGGCCAGCAGGCTCTTAGTGTAAATAAGAATGTGGCTATTCCAGGGACTGTCACAGAGAAACAGAGGTTACATTGAAGTAGACCAACAAGCCCATCGTAGAAGGCCAAGGATCCTTTGATCAAATATTGCTAATACTCCTTCAGAATCCTACTGGTAATCCACGTGTAATCGTTTACAACTTTCTACCTGCTGACTTTGTTTGATTTGAATAATGTTGATCTTTTGGAAAAGTTAGTTCAAACGCAGCTCTTGATTTTTAGTCCAATGGTTTATATTCTTAAAACAGCTATCGGTTATGGTTCTTTCTTTATTATTAAGTTAGCATAAGTCCCCAGACAACCAGATATCAGTTTAAAACATTCCACTGCTCCGCCAGGAAGAAAGGTTAAATCTTCCTTATTTAATCTCTCTCATTGTTACCCACTACTAACAACTGAAGTACTTAATTGGGGAGAGGTGGCATTTTCTCTCTATTTTTAAATCATAGCCTTAATTCAAAGTAATTTAGCCAACATGGCTGATGTCAACAAAGCCCTGTCATTTTAGAGGATCCTGAAGAAAAAGTATAACATGGCTTGAATTGGTACTCCAAACATTGGGAAAAAATATCTTTTTTCCTTCAGCCAGGCTAAACTTAACTTTTCTATTCAAAAAGGAAGAATTTTCTTTTAAAAATTATTAGAAGTGGGCAGCACCTGTGGCTCAAAGGAGTAGGGGCTGGCTCCATATACCAGAGGTAGCGGGTTCTAACTCAGCCCCGGGCCAAAAACTGCAAAAAAAAAAAATAATAATAATTATTAGAAGTGTGGAAGCAATTCTGTTTCACTTACCTAAGAAAATCTTAACCAAAAGGCTGAGAAGCTATAACTTACCTAAGAAAATAATTGAGCATGTTTAGGCATCAAATCCTTAGCATCTTTCATATGAAAAGTAAATTTAGAATGGACGTAGCTTGAAGGAGTGTGCTGAATGAGTTTGACTTCTGAGCAAGTGAAGGTTGTCAACTATAATGACATATTAACAGGTCCAGATTGGGGGAAGGGGAATTCTAGTCATTATGTACATCTAAATTAGTAAAGACTCTAAACCATAGGGACTTCTTTTAAGTCTGCGTCCTATGGCTGAATGAGATGGGTTTCTTTACCATATTAGAATTAATGAAGTTTTACATCTCATTGTCTTTGTCTCTTAACCCTCTCTGAATTGACTTCAATAAAGTTATCGCTTGAGGTAAGTTACACCAGCAGCTGTATGTGTTGTGGGCTGGCTCCACCCTCTGAACGAGGTATTTCCTGATAGTTCCTGATAGTTCTGAGAACGGTAGCTCTTCTCATAGAAAACAAGGAACAGACAACATTATAAGAGAAGAAGCAATTGGGAGAAATTTATAGATCATAATGGTCCTGGAACAAAGGAGTATTGTCAGAAGTTTAAATGTATACCCTAAGATTACATACAGAAAAAGGTAATGAGCCTTTTTTTTTTTTCCTGTAAATGGTTTGGTTGAAGGTGGCGAATATACCAGGATGATCCTTTGATGCGGGTCCTCTTGGAACAGAAACCTGAGGAAGAGTCCATTGCAGATGTGGGTCAGAAGACCTCAGATTGATATTCTTTCCCTTCAAATTATTAGGTGTTGCCCTTTTGTAAAAAAGGAATATTTTTTTCTGCCTTCCGATATTTTCAAGGGCTCATGTCTTTCCTAGGTGCCATGTTTTCCCTGTGTCCCAGATGGCCAGGCCAGCATGGCCAGCTTCTCCAGAACTGCGGAAACCGCTGGTTTGGAATTTGCCCCTTTTTTTCTTTTCCAAATGGAATCTTGCTCTGTTGCCTAGGCTAGTGTGCAGTGGCATGATTATGGCTCAGTGTAGTCTCGAACTCCTGTGCTCAGGTCATCTGCCTGCCTCAGCTTCACTAGTTAGCTGGGACTACCAGTGTGTGCCACCATGCCCAGCTAATTTGTTTTTCCTGTAGAGGCATGGTGCCCACTGTGCTGTCCAGGCTGGTCTGCAACCCATGGTTTCTCCCTCCTTGGCCTCCCAAAGTACTGGAGTTACGGGCATGAGTCACAGCACCAGCCTGGGGTTTGCTCTTTTAGCAGTAGGGTGAATGAATGTGCTTTTGACCCAGAAAGGAGCTGGTGATATATACTCCAGGCTCTTCAGAGTGTGGCCCACCACTCCATTCCCAGAGAGACATCAGAGAACGTGTATAATTTATGATGAGCCCAGTTCTGTGCTACACCCGGGTAGCTGCTGGTGCCTGTTCTTTATGATATCCCTTCTTTAGAGCATACAACGGGGCTTTTGCAGGTGGCAGGTAGGACAAGGAGCTGAGGGGTTTCCCTTTGGCCCAGTTAAAGACTAGAGAAGGGAGAAGACAGAAGGCTCAGAGTCTTACCATAAACGTCACTTGCTCCCTCGGCAGAAAACCATTGTCAATATCAGCCCATTTTCTCTCATTCGTTTGTTCAACAAATTTTAAAGGGAACATTTTAAATGTCATTGACCATTACTGGTTGGTTACTTAAAAAAAAAAAAAAAAAGCATAGTATTCTTCGATTTTTAATTCAAAATCTCTCTGTTGTAGCTGGTTCCTCTCATTCAAAAAAACCATCCGGGTCCAAAGCATCAGCCTCACCATCTACGTCATCCACCTCATCTCGTCCCAAAGCTTCAAAGGAGACGGTTCCTAGCAAAACCGGGACAGTGGGGACCGCAAAGGGCAAGAAAAAAACTGGCAAGCAGCCGGCAACTTACCGCCTGTCCTCAGATGCAGCCACATCCGACCTCCCAGGAGAGCCTTCGGACACCGGCGTGGAGAGTCTCAATCCCGAGCAGACTGTCGCTGGGGCTGAGGAGCAGGCTGCGCGCAGATCCAAGTCTGCAGTCCCTCCGCCCCCTGTGGCCCCGGCACCTTCGCCCCCCGCCCCTCCGCTTGCTCTCAAGGATCAGTGTGTTATTGCCTCAGACCCTCCAGTCGTCCTGGTCAGCGTGGGAGCTGACCTGCCCATCTCTGCCTTAGACCCGAGTCAACTTCTTTGGGCTGAAGAGCCGACGAACAGAACCACTTTCCAATCAGGCCCTGGCTTAAGTGATAGCAGAGAAAATGCAGAATGGTGAGTCGGGTAGAAACCTATATTCCGTCTGAGTACTAACAGTTAACTAATGTATTCTGTTGGCGCGGAAAGAACCTAGTTCGCTCTCTTTTATGATTTAACCCACTGACTGTTAGGCAAGCACAGCTGTAACCTGGACAGTGGCATTTCAGGGCCCTAACCTGGGAATGCCTCCCGCTGCTGGAGGAATAACACAGCACCAATTCACAGCTGCAATTTTCAGCTACCTTGAGAACCCCCTCAGCACTACTCAGTCCTTGTTTTTGTCCCTGGAGAGCTCCTTTCTGCTTCCTCACAGTGCTTATTTTATTTTATTTTATTTTATTTATTTTGCAGTTTGGGGCTGGGTCCGGGTTTGAACCCGCCACCTCCGGCATATGGGGCCAGCACCCTACTTCTTTGAGCCACAGGCACTGCCCACAGTGGTTATTTTAAATCTATACCATTTGGGTCCATATTACCCACTGCTGCCCACCTCATTTCAGCAAGTTACTTAGCCTTCTCTTTCTCTAAGAGCATAAAGGCCATCAGGAGAGAACTTTCAAATCCTAACTCCTTTCTCTTCAACCAGAATGACCCACTTTCTTGTTCCTTTAATTTCCCACCCAGCTCAAATATTACCTCCTCTATGAAGCCTTTGAGTGCTTCTAGATAGAATGGGTTATTGTGTCCCTTATACTCAGACAACCTCTTTTTTCTTGCCTCTGGGACAGAGTAGCCAACGTGTCTTGTGGGGACATGTCTGTGTCCCTGGCAGCATGTTCAGAGTCTGGTATGGTATAGGCAGTCAAAAGATGCACACCAAATTGTCGAATGAAAATGAAAAAGTGAGCTATGGTGGTTATAGGAAAGTCAGCCTACTTCAGCATGGCGGAAGCTGTGTTGAAGATGAGATGGCCTTGGTACTAGATTTTATAAACAGAGCAGGATGGAAGATAGATGATGGTAGTCAGGCATCATTTCCTTTAAGAAGGTGACTAAACAAAATGGGCCAACGAACTTGATGTTGACCCACCATCACCCAGTTTCCCAGGCCAGGAACTGGGATTCATTTTAGGGTCCTCATTCTCCTTAATTCCTTGCATCATAAAGTCCTATAAATAAATTTTCTATTTGCCAGTAATTCAGAGATGTTAACCCTCCTTTCTACCGGTATGAAGGGAAGTCTGTCACAATATAGTAGATGCAGTTACAAGTTCTATCGAGAGAGGGCTTGGAGTTCTTGATTCCAGACTCTTCTCTCTTACATCGTAGAGTAAAACCTGTATTTACTCTTCAAATCCTTTAAAAGGTTCTTTTGCAAAATAAATCTGTCATGTTATACTTTAAAAACAATTATTCTATTAATTAGAGGCGTTTTGGTCAAGAGACTAAAACATCAACTTTATTTAGTTGTTGATAATAATCTTCATTCATTGAAGACTTAATTAGTGTTGAAAACTAAGCACTGTACACGTATTATCATTTAATTTACAGATGTCTTTCCTGAAGTATCTCCAATTTATTAGATAAGAAAACTGCTCTTAGAGACCTAAATAGTTTGCCCAAGATTGCCCACATAGCAGTGGCAAAGCTAGAGTGCAAAGTCCATTGCTGTGCTCTGAAGAACTTTGTAAGTTTTTTAGAGCAATTGCTCCTACTTCTAATCCTTTTCTATTATATGCTTGTTTCTTTGTTTTTATTTTTATCATTTTGAGCACCAAAGTTTGAAGGAAAGCCAAGGTGAGATACATAAATGTCAAACTACAAATTAGTTTATTTGTTTGACATTTTAATAAAAGATATGGGAAAAGAAGACCTTGAAATGAATCATCTGTCTTAGTACCTTTTGTGCTGCTGTAACAGAATACCTGAGCCTGGGCAGGAATATAACAGAAATGTATTGGCTGGTGTTCTGGAGGCTGAGAAGTCCAAGATCTAAGTGCTTGCATTTGATAAAGACCTTCTTGCCGTGTCATCATGTGGTGGAAGGAAAGGCAAAGGGCACACAAGAGTGAAATTTACTCATGAGGGTGGAGCCCCCATGACCCGAACACCTCCTATTAGGCCCTTCCCCCCAACCCTGTCATACTGGGATTTAATTCTTCAACATATGAATCCTGGGGGACACTCTCAAACCACAGCAATATCTTTAATACTTAATAGCACATAGAAAATGTTTTCATTGAATCATCGTATTTTCCAGCACTGCCCTCACTTCCAGCATTTAGAAATGAACAGTCATTCTATCAGCATATACCTATATATTTTTGGCATTTTCTGTACTGGCCAATCTACTGAGAAGCAAAGATATAAAAGTGAGCAAGAAAGGGTAGTTGAAAGCACTTTTTACTAAAATACTGTCCAACACTTTGAGGAAGTATAAATGTTTAAATGTGTAAATTTTGGAAGTGGATTGAATATGTTGGATTGATTGGTTAATAGACTAAAGAATAGGGGACAGTATAAAATGCTTCCAAGCACCACACTCTGCATGTCAGGGGCTGAATATCTGTCACGAGCCCCAGTGTGTGAAGAATTGTCAGACAGACAAGATAAGTACCTTTTCTCCATTTCTGCTGGGACTATAATCAGAGAGAGCGAGCGAGCACACTTAGGATCTCACTAGACATTGACGGTCTTTATGTGAAATTTTCCTGTTTGTCAGGGTAGCTCTAAGGCTTTCCTCGAAGAGATCATAGAGATTTTCGTCTCTGTATCTTCTTCAAAATTAAAAATTTAAATTGCAGATCATTCTCCAGGCATGGTTTGTGTTTGCTCTTGAATTAATGAACCCGGAGTAAGTAGTCTCCCAAATTTCCTCCCAGACCCTTTCTTTTTTCAAGTGGATATTTGAATTAGAACTTCTGGCTCTTAGTCATTTGCTTTACTTAGAACTCTCCCTGAGTTATGTTTGGTCAACTAATGTATGAAAATCTTGTCATCTTATGAAGAGACTTCTGTTTGGAACACAAATATGAAACCTTTAAATGAAGCAAATGGCTATGTATAAAAATACCCACCTCTGCTTCCTTACTGCAGGCTACTATTTGTAGCTTCCTTTCATTTGGCAACTTCATCAGTAACACATATGTCTGGTACCACGTATCATGGAAGGCTTCTGAAACTAAGACACCCTTTTGGAGGCCAGATCCAAAAGTGACCTGACCTTGTTCAGTTTATTTCCAAACAGACATTTACAGAATACACCACATTGTGCATTGTGCCCAGGAACTCTAAAGAAAATAATTAGAGCTAAGTTGTGAGTTGATTGTAAATTTGATGTTTATTTAATGTTAAGTCTAAATCACAACATATTAAAGTATATTTAATGTTAAGTCTCAATCACAACATTAACATAATTTAAATATTAAGGATAAAATGAAATATAATATGACATTTAATACATAGACTGAGAGTCTTCAGTGGGTTCTAGACTGGATTTGCTACGCTAGCAGGACCACTCACCAATGGCTTTCCTCAGTGCCATGAACTGTAAATCGTCTGCCTTCCATATACTATAGAAGAATAACTTGTAAGTTGTAAACATGCGCTGAAGTCTTCGAAAACTGCAAGCAATTGTAAATTGTGAGATTAAAATAATAATATCATAATAAATTGGAAAACAGTGATACAAAAAAAATAAAGGGCTCCACTCTCAAGTAGCTCTTGTTCTGCCATCCAGAATGGATCATTAATTGGCATATCCTTTAAACATGCTGTGGTCACCTGTAAGGGCTTCCAGTGGCAATCAAGTAAAAATCCCGACTGTAGAAAAGTTTCCCATAAAAATAGCTCTTCCAAAAAAAAAAAAAAATAGCTCTTCCCTTATGTAAGAGGGGACTTCACACTGTATAAAACAGTATGGTGGTTCCTTAATAAATTAAATACAGGTGGCTCAGCGCCTATAGCTCAACCGGCTAAGGCACCAGCCACGTACACCTAAGGTGGCGGGTTCGAATCCCCAGCCCGGACCCGCCAAACAACAATGACGGCTGCAACCAAAAAATAGCCGGGCGTTGTGGCGGGCGCCTGTGGTCCCAGCTACTTGGGAGGCGGAGGCAGGAGACTCGCTTGAGCCCAGGAGTTGGAGGTTGCTGTGAGCTGTAATGCCACCGCACTCTACCCAGGGGGACAGCTTGAGGCTCTGTCTCAAAATAAATAAATAAATTAATTAATTAATTAAATACAGAATTACTATGTGATACGCAATTCCACTTCTGTGTATCTAGCCAAAAGAATTGAAAGCGGGGTCTTGAATTTTTATACCAGGGCTCATACCACGTGTGTATGCAATAGCCAAAAGGTGGAAACAACCCAAAACGTACCTTGACTGTGAATAGATAAACAAATGTGGCATTCACGTGCAGTAGACTGTCACTCGGCCTTCAAACGGAAGGAAATTCCAACACCTGCTACCACATCAATGAACCTGGGAGACATTACGCCAAGTGGAGTCAAAGGCAAAAGGACAAACATTGTATCATTTTCCTTATCTGGGGGACTTAGTCAAATTCATAGAGGCAGAAAGTAGCATGGTGGTTGCTGGATGGGGTTCGGGGTTATGGGAATTTACTGTTTAATGGGTACAGACTTTCTACTTGGGAAGGTGAGAAAGTTCTGGAGATGGAAGATCTGTTAAATGGATAAAGTGGTAAATTTTATATTATGTACATCTTACACAATAAAAAATGAAATTTCATATTTTCCCCTTTGAGAACAAGAATTTCATCTGTTGGATTTTTCTAGTAAATAACAGGGAATTTTGAGAGTGCTTAGGCGCGTAACTACAGAGTAGAATTTTAAATACCCCCTATTCTGATAAAGTTTACCTGTGCTCATTATTCAAATAAGTGTTTTGTTTATTTTGTTCATTAATGAGAACAGCAGATGCATGCCGTGTGCTGTGTAATCTTTGTCTTCCAGAAGTGTGACATCCAAATTTGAATACTTCCATTTATATCGGAAAGCAGGCTGGGGGGTCTGTTGAATCTTAAAATGAAGACTATGTTGTTTTTGCTACCATATGCTTTTTATGTAAAGTACTATTTTTTAGTCTAGTCTTTGAAATTTTGGCAATCTTTGCATGTTTATAGTAACTCTCTAAAGCAGACTCTTACCAAGCTAAATAATAAAAAAAAGTATTCCATCCTTCCACTTTTCTTCTAAAGCATTCATTTAACTTTCACACTTTCCATCTCATGTGGTTGCTGTAGTCTCACAAGAGAGTTTAACAGATGAAGAAGTGGAAACACAGAGAGGATAAATGATTTTTGACTGTTGATAGATGCATTGGGGTGGAAATAGAATTAATTCATATATATATGTGTGTGTATATATATATATATATATTTTTTTTTTTTTTAGATACAGAGTCTCATTTTATCACCCTTGGTACGGTGCTGTGGCATCACAGCTCACGGCAACCTCCAACTCCTGGGCTTAGGCGATTCTCTTGCCTCAGCTTCCCGAGTAGCTGGGACTACAGGCACCTGCCAGAATGCCCGGCAACTTTTCTGTTGCAGTTTGGCCAGGGCCAGGCTTGAACCCACCATCCTCAGTCTATGGGGCTGGCGCCCTACTCACTGAGCCACAGGCACCGCCCTGTATATTAATGAGAGAAGTGCTTGTCTCTGCCATCACCCTTCCGGGTGCTGGGAAACAAAATGACCAGAGTCCCACTTGTCAAGGAACCTGCGAGTGTGAGAGGGCAGACAAGTAATGGGGGTATCAAGGTGTAGTGTGCCACTTACTCTCATCCACAGGTTGTCTTCAGGTCACCATGGAGCAGATATGGTAGGGCAAGGAATTAAACCGAAGGCCCTCAAAAGATTCCAAAGGAGCTGAGGCTGGACAGATAAGAAGTTAATACAGGTCAAACAAAAGGTGTAGAGAAAGTCAAATATCCAGGAGCTTCTGGATCAACCAAGCTTTCCACTCAACCCCCATTGCTATGAAAAAATAAATTTGCAAAATGTAGTGTTACCATATGAACTACGTGCATTAGACACCATCTAGTTAGGCCATTTCATTTCACAGGTGAAGAATGTAAAGCCTTGGGAGTTAAGTAAGATGGCACGGCTCTCCCATTTCAGTGACCTCAGGCTGGCCCCTGTCTGGTTTTTCCTTTCTCAAGCCCGAGGGAAGTCCATGAAACTTCAGCTCCTTTTGACAGTGCTGGTGGCTCCAAGGGTCGCTCTGAGATTCACATCACCCCTGTGTTTATGCCTTTAACAGTTTCACAACCAAAGACGAGTTGACACCTCAGCTACTGACCCCCGGGCTGATGGGAGAGTCTTCAGAATCCTTCAGTGCCCTGGAGGAGGAAGGCCAGAAGGAGTACCAGGCCAGTGACTCTGACTCCGACGGGCCGATCTTGTACACTGATGAGGATGAGGACGAGGACGAGGATGAGGATGGCAGTGGAGAGAGTAAGACCGTTTTCAAGCATTATCGGGGGCCCAGTGCCCATAGCTCAGTGGTTAGGGCACCAGCCACATGCACCGGGGCTGGTGTGTTTGAGCCCAGCCATGGCCTGGTAAACAACAATGACAACAATAACAAAAAAAACAGCTAGATGTTGTGGCAGGTGCCTGTAGTCCCAGCTACGGGGAGCTTGAGGCAAGAGAATCGCTTAAGCCCAAGAGTTAGAGGTTGCTGTGAGCTGTGACATCACGGCACTCTACTGAGGGTGACATAGTGAGAGTGCCTCACAAAATAAGAAAAAAGTTATCGGGAGGGCCCGTGGAAGACAGAAGCAGCTGCATTTTGTTTGTTTGTTTGAGACAGAGCCTCAAGCTGTCCCCCTGGGTAGAGTGCCGTAGCATTACAGCTCACAGCAACCTCCAACTCCTGGGCTCAAGTGAGTCTCCTGCCTCCGCCTCCCAAGTAGCTGGGACCACAGGCACCCGCCACAACGCCCGGCTATTTTGGTTGCAGCCGTCATTGTTGTTTTGGCGGGTCCGGGCTGGGGATTCGAACCCGCCACCTTAGGTGTACGTGGCTGGCGCCTTAGCCGGTTGAGCTATAGGTGCCGAGCCAGCAGCTGCATTTTGTAAAGAAGAAAAGCCTCATTAGGATGCAGACATTTGGGGTGTTCTTTCACCTCATCTTCCTTTCTCAAATTAGAAATGTGTCTCTCCTGAAGTTTTACCTTTTGATGACAGGCCTGTCTGGAACGTGATGCCGCTGTGGGGGAGAACAGAGCTTTGTCTATGAGACAGGTGTGCAGATTGGTATTTTACAGAGAATCCAAGTTTTTCTCAGTGTGGCCAAAGATGGCCTTTTCACCTGGGCCATTCTCAAAGAGCCTCAGTGCAGGATGTATTGGCTTACTCATTGGAAATGCTTGAGATTTTCTCCCACTTACCTCTTTAGAATTGCGGTGGTTCCTCCACAGTGAGTGAGATGCCTTCTAGGAAGGAATAATACTAAAGGGACAGAGCCTGCCATCTGTGTGTAACTTAGGGAACAAGAAAGTGCTCTTGTTATTATTTTTTTAACTTTTGAGCAACGTGACTTGGGAGGAATTCACTGTGGGATTGGATTTATAGATTACAACAAGTTACTATTATATGCATGATTAAACAACAATTCGTTAAATTCTTTCTGATTTGCATGGAGCAAAAAAAAAAATCATTACTAATTATCATTGGTAGAGATTTTAAGGATTCCTAGGTCATCGGAGGTTAAAATATTGGTAAAGAAGGTAGACTCTTGGCAGCAGGGTGTTGAGGGGAAAAAAGAAGGCCAAGGTTAACTGTACAGTGTTAGCAGAGGGGCTAAGTTTTTAGCATTCAAAAGAAAAAGCATTGTGCAATCAGTAGTTGCCATGAGCCACCGTATTAGCAAAATAAACTTCAACGATCATTTTCCAAATGATGAGGTGATAATTCCAACTTTTTCCATGATGTCTCAATGTATTTCAGATCATTTGAAAAACTAGTTCTTTAGTTCTTTTCAAGATGAACTACATCTGACTCAAAAGCTTTTTTCCCTTATTTTAATGAAGATTTCTCCCCTTGCATATGGATAAAGAATTTAGTCTGGGCTCTGCTGATAGCCCATGCCACGAGTAACCTGAGTGCCACTGGCTAAAAGCCACTTTCTCTGCATTTCTACCCTTTTCAACCCTCAGGTGCTCTAGCAAGTAAAATCCGACGAAGGGACACTCTTGCTATCAAACTGGGCAACCGACCGTCTAAGAAAGAGTTAGAGGACAAAAACATCTTGCAGCGGACCTCGGAAGAAGAGAGACAGGAAATCCGGCAACAAATTGGAACCAAGTTAGTCAGGTAATTGCTGATATTTTAGGACAGTCGTGACGAATTCAGACTTTTCTTCCTCCCAGAGTTTCCTGCCTAACTGGGATCACTGTGAATTCCCTGTGTACAGGCACTTCTGGCCTACTGGGCTTTTAAACTTGGCCTTGGCTGGTGATCCTCTCGAAGAACCTATGTTCTGGTCCAGCTAGCCAGCCAGTGTCTTTGAGGTCTCCAGACCCTACTCCAGGGGTCAACAGACTTTTCCTAAAAGAACCAGTTAGTAAATATTTCGGGCTTTGCTGGCCAGACAGTCTGTGTTGCAGTTGCTCAACTGTCCTGTCGCGGCCTAGACGCAGACATAAATAATGTGCAAACAAATGAGTGTGGCTGTGCTCCAGTGAAACTTTATTTACAAAAAAATGGTGGCAGGCTGGATTTGGCCTCTGGACCACAGTTTGCCCAACTCCTGGCCTCATTTGCGCTCTCACTAACTTTCCTGCGCTGTGGGCTGTGAGGCTGTGGTCGTGTCAGTTAGCGTCAGCGGCCCGGCTCCACCCCCGACAGGCAACCCTAGCCCCCATATCTAAACTTGCCCCTTTTAACTTCACATAAGTGGGTCATCTGACGTCTCGTCCCACCTCCGTCCATTGTGTTAGGATTTCGGCTTTTGCCACTAATGACTTTGGAAGTCCATTTAACTGGCAGTTTGAATAGAAGTGAGTATTCGTTCATACCGAAGGTCTTACTTGTGATGATCAGTTTAGCCCATCTAAGAATTAGTTATCCTGCTGACTCTACTCACTCTGAATAGTAACAGGGCACATCTTTGGGAAGAGGGAACAGTTTGGAATGCCAGAGCAGAATTTGGAGATAGGAGGAAAGGGCAGTCCTTGCTTGGAAGTGGTGTCATGGGAGAGAGGGTTGGCGTGGAGAGGGTTCCAGAGGCCATTGTGTCTTTCTCCAGAGGGACAACAATGCCATCAGAAATCTTCTTACGGCTGAGACACAGAAAAACGTTTCAGAGCCAGCAGTTGTGGCGTCCATAGGAAGGGCTATCCCAGCCTGATAGAGAATCTAGGAAGAGACTGAGGGTGTCTTCAGTCTAGTCTCCTCACTTTGGCCCTGAACTTTGACCATTTACTGCTGCAGGAAAGAGTCAGCACAGAGAAAAGGAACTAAAGTGATTAACAGTTCGGAGCTGGAAAGACCTATAGGTCTGAACTCGTCATCTTATACCAAGTGAACACAAGGGGCCCCCCTGAGCCCTAGAAAGACTCCAGAAAATTTCTCAAGGACATGTAGTTCCTTAGGAGCAGAATCAGGATTAGAATTCTGTTCCTGGGCTCTCTGCTCAGTTTTCTTTCTCATTCTTTCTCCTGTTTTGTACCTTTGACACTGTGTGAGGGAGGATCTGCCTGTAGGGGGAGTTTTGGTTTTGTTTTATTGCCCTTGTTTGTGTTTTGCAGAAGAATTAAAATCATTGACTAATATTTCCATAAAAGAATAGTGCAAAATAGGGTGTATTCCTTAAAAATATCATCATAGTTTATGATAGTAAGGGGTAAAAGTATGAGGAATTATATTCCCATCTCGATAGATGCCCTGTTGGTGGTAACGAAAGTTTTGTGTGTCTTTGTTAAAATTCTAAATAAATCAAGGGTAGAGGATTTTTTTTTAATTATACTAAATATCTTCTTATATAGAGAAACCCTAAAATCATTTGCTTTAAAAACAGCAGCAAACAAAAATTTCCCACTCTTAGTAAAAGTCTGATCACCATTATTTGTGGTGAAGAAGAAACATAAATTATAAATTGTATGAAAGAAGTACTATTATTACACCTAGTTGTATATCTAGAAAACACTGAAAATTTGACTAAAAATTGCTATGGGTACTCATTTCAGCAGGTTCCTATGATGTAAGACTATCTATAAAAATCAACATCATATTTATTTAGCATTGACACATACCCCCCCACCAAAAAACATGAAAAAAGGGAGTTTACATATCTAGTAGTAGCAACAACCACATTTTAAATACTAAACTATTTGTTTAACTTGAGACCCAAGAAATCTATTTCTAGAAAATCGCAAGGGAACAAATGAAGGAATATGTGAGTAAATAGAGAGAGGAGTAAACTTTTTTTCTTTTTTTTTTTTGGCAGTTTTTGGCCAGGGCTGGGTTTGAGCCTGCCACCTTCAGCCTATGGGGCGGCGCCCTACTCCTTTGAGCCCCAGTCACCGCCCAGGAATAAACATTTGTATCAATGAGGAAAAATTCAACAGACAGGTTTATCAGATGTGGGGGAGGATTGAAGTTTGATGCACACTAGATGTACTTTATAGAATCAGGGCATAAGTAATGGATTAATTTTATAAAATGAAACCAAATAGAAATAAATGTCACCTTTTTCCGTGTGAGCTAAAGGAAAACCATCTACCAAGATAAGAAGAGAGCTCTGTCGCTGCAGGTTGGTAAGATGTTTGCGGCCCTGATAAATTTAATGAGAATCACCATGACAGCCACTGTGAGAAGGGGCTGTTGAATGTCAGAGTGTAGGCTTATCCGGACCTGGCAGAAATATGGTCTAGAGAACAAAGAAAGAGAAAGCCCCTGGTTGGCTGCAGCTGCGAAACGGAACCAACTGATCCAAGAGATGGGAGGACAAAAGGAGATGACACAGTTAAGGCACTTCCGTGCCTGGATCAAGCGAGCACTCAGTCACATTACGTTTCTTCTTATTAACTTACATTATTTATACATCTATTAAACTAGGAAGGCACATTTAAAAATTAAAACCAATATTGGCATGTTTATGGGAAAATAGGGCTCATACACATGGCTCTTGTGCGATATTTCAGAAGAACAGATTTAACAATATGACAAAAGAATTCTAAAGCAGTCTAATGTGTTTGCCTGGTAATTCCACTTGGGGGATGTATATCATCCCTATAAGAAGGAAGTCATCCAAAAGGGGAGAAAAAATGCTACATTTTGCAAAAATGCTTATTAAAAGGCTATTTATAGCAATGACAGATTAACACAAGCCAAATGCTCCAAACAGAGGAATTGATAACACAGTGACGTTGTGAGAAGTTAATAGTGTGGAATTCCATACAGCCTCAGTTTTCTAAATGCCTCATCGAGGGTTCCTTGGAGAAGATACACAGGTGCGTCTGCAGGAAGAGCCAGGGAGTGCAGGCGTGCATTTGGGCTGGGATGGCAGGAGCCTTCTGTATTCCAGGTCAAACCATCCAACTGAGACATCTTCTGTCTCTCTTACAGATCAGGATTCCACCCCAACGCAAAGACTATATCTGTCAAAACTTTGGGGGGGGGGGGGTTACTGGTTTTTACTATTATTGATGTGTAAATTTTACAGAATTGCTTTTCTACAAACACATCACATCTGATCACTGTCAGTGAAAGATAAATTACCCACAGTTCCATGCTTAGGGAACTTCCTGTCTAATGAAAAAGACAGAATTGGGCAGTGCCTATAGCTCAGTGGGTAGGGCACTGGCTACATACACTGAGGCTGGCAGGTTTGAACTGGCCTGGGACAGCTAAACAATGACAACTGCAACAAAAAGAAAAAGAATACCCAGGCAATGTGGCGGGTACCTATAGTCCCAGCTACTAGGGAGGCTGAGGCAAGAGAATTGCTTAAGCCCAAGAGTTTGAGGTTGCTGTGAGCTGTGATGGCACAGCGCACTACTAGGGTGACATAGTGAAACTCTGTTTCAATTTTTTTTTAAGGAGAAAAAAAACAGAATTATATATTGCATGAAATAGTCATGTGAAAAGAACGCAAGACTATGTCTAAGGACCTAGGTGTGCATCCCAGCACCTGCGTGCACTAGTGTTTTGTCTGTAGGCAAGTTAGTTAACTTCTCATTTCCTCATCACAGTGAAATGGGAACTGGCTGCCCCGTTGCTGAATTGGTTTGAGGCTTCAAGACAATGTAAGTTAAGCACCTAGCACAGTCCCTGGGACTTTACAAGTATGAGTAAATGATAGCTATAATTATTTTTTTAATAATTACTATATGCTATACATTAGACTGCTTTACAATTCTTGTGTCAGTGTGATAAATGCCTTAATAGATGTATAATCAGCATATAGCCCACTGTATAGACCACTTTGGGCAAAGAATCAGGGGCCTTTAATTCACACTTCCAGGAGAGGTCAAATATCTACCTTCAAAGTCCTGTTTTAATTATTTGTTAGATTTCAGTAGGTAGAGAAGGAGAGAAAAGCATTCCCTAGGGAAGAGACTTTATAAACAACAGAAGGATGCATTTTGGGGACGTGACATAGAGTACAGCATCCTGGGAGCACAAATATGTCATCTAAATCCTTGGGTCCTTGGGTGACATAGTGTCTGGCTGGTATCAGCGTTCCCTGGGTTCTTTTGTGGACTCAATTACTGAAGGCAATCTCAGGGTAGTTCTGATGAAGATTACATTGGAACAAAATTTTTAATGAGGTATTTCAAATGTCATTAATTTCGGTTCTGCATACCATTTCTGTCACAGCTATAAACATTTAGAGTTGGTAGTTATCTTATGTTAAGATTAGCTTTCATATACATTCCTTCAGTTTGCACGAATTCAGCCTACATCAGAGGAAGTCCTTCCTCTGTGATTAATAACTCGATATTGTAAACAGGACCAAGAACTAAGTGATAAAGGGTTATTAGGACATTCAGTTCTCATGCGCAGATAGATAGCTCCTAATCACAAGTGAGCCTGGATTTTCTTGAAGGCAGATAGGAAGGGCCTGTAACATTATATATGATAAATTGCTTTGAGGTCCCCAAACCAGTCACTGTGCAGTCAAGATAGGTCATCTCCCAAGTTGATATGACCTCTTTCTTTTTAGTCTATCCTTTTATGTATCTATTTATTTTAGAGTCAGGGTCTTACACTATCTTGGTCTTACCCAGGGCTGGAATGTATCTCTATATCCACAGCTCATTGCAGCCTCAAACTCCTGCAACCATCCTCTTTTCTCAGGCCCTTTTTTTTTTTTTAAATTAAATCATAGCTGTGTACATTAATGCAGTCATGGGGTACAATGTGCTGGTTTTATATACAATTTGAAATATTTTCATCAAACTGGTTAACAGCCTTCGTGGCATTTTCTTAGTTACTGTGTTAAGACATTTATATTCTACATTTAGTAAGTTTCACATGTACCCTTGTAAGATGCACCGTAGGTGTGGTCCCACCAATTACCTTCTCTCCACCTATCCTCCCCCTGTCCCTTCCCCTCCTCTCCCTTAAGTAGCTGGGTCTAGAAGCAAACCCCTCCACATCTAGCTGAATTTTTTATTTTTGTACAGACAGGGTCTTGCTATGCCTAGGCTGGTCTCAAACTCCAGCCTCAAGTCATCCCGCTGCCTTAGCCTCCAGACTAACTGCAGAAACAGGCACGGGCTACTATGCCTGGCTATATGAGCTCTTGATTAGCAGCCTATTGTAGACTCTCACTACTTGTATATCAATCAAGCTATTGGCTATGTTACTGTAATGTAAACCCAAAATACAGTGGTTCAAATAGGTACGTTTATTTATTTCTCATACAACAGTCCCGAGGCAGGTGGGCCCCCCAAGATGGGCAGGAGCATGGCTCCTTGGAGTCAGCCACACACCCAGCTTCCTCTTGTCTTGTTCCTTTTCTGACCCCTTGGATGGTCTCACCTGTATGATCAAAGCTGGTTCACACCTTCATGTGTAAGTTATGGCCTGTGGAAGAAGGAAAGAGAAAAAAAGAGACTGCACACCCAAACATTTTACGGGTAAAAAATAGAAGTTACAGATATCATTCTGGTCACATCCCATTGCAGAAGCTCACATAACCACACCCGGTTTCTAGCTAAAATCCAGGCAGATCTGTTTCAAAAAGGAAAAAGGGAGACTGACCAACAGGGCAGTTTGCAGTCTCAGCCATAGTCTGTGGTCTCCAAACCAGTGGAAAGCACACTTGTTTTGTAGGTTGAAAAATCGATTTTTGTTTCTCAAAGTATGAAAAAATAGAGCTTTGTTTGTTGTTTTATTTTGCGTCTCTGTGTCCCTAAGGGGGCCTGGTTTGTAACCTGTAGTATGTATCCCTTTTGTCATCATAGGAGGCTTAGCCAGAGGCCCACAACTGAAGAATTAGAGCAAAGAAATATCCTAAAACGTGAGTATCCTCTGTCCTACAATGAGTCCTTGAGTTACCGTTAACAAGCTGCCACTGCAGACGATTCATTCATCAGTGAGAAGCCATAATACACTAGTTTACTCACAACTCACTGAAATGGCCCACGTAGATCACATGTATATGTAATTGTGTATACATAATAATTTCTTGAATCTTGTATTTCACTTTATGACTCCGAGCCTGACAGTTCCCAGACCGGAGCTGTGGTCCTGACAACTGTTTTCTAAAAAAGATGAAGTATATTCCAAGTGTTCTTTCCCCCAACTGCTAAATAGAAGAAAATGCTCTCGTCTACTTGCAAATGTATGCCAAAGAAAAGCCCAAGAGTCCACAAGGAAATAAATCAAACATTCCTATATTATTTCTAAAAAATACAGTTTGTTGCTAAGTGTAACACATGACTCAATTTAAAACAAAATCATGGTCAAAGGTATGTTTCAATCCAGTTCATTTTCCTCTGTTGCGATAACTCGGCTTCCCTCTTGAGTTGTTTGTAATTCCTCAGCACGTAAAGAGTTTGCCGTTCGTTTTTCTACTTTATTTTCCCATTCCGTTTTTCCCTCTGTTCTTGATGTTATTTTCTACTCCCCACTTCTGTAGTATTTGTTGGAGTTAGTATTTTGAAGCTGTAAAACTAATAGAAACACGGTTTGTCATGCTATTGTGTGTCATTGTGGTTACTAACTGCCCTGAGTTAAGAAATGGGTTATTTTTAAATGGAGCCTAGTGATAACGATACATTTTATTTACCCTGTTTCAAGGGAGCTTTTTCTTGTATGAAATATCAGAGAATAGGATAGTACTACCATTGTAACAAACCACTGGCGTGGGGGAAATTCCTTTTCAACCAGGCTTTTAGAGTTATCTTGTCCTGCTGAAGGGCCCCTGCTCTCCAATATCAGTGATTTTCACTCCTTAAAGGAGAGAAAGAGTTTGGTAGCATGTTATATACTACAGTTACTGGAAAGCATGAAAATTTAACCCTGTGAGAAACTGTCATCCTCCCTGCGGTGGGATCTTTTTCCTGGGAAGGTTGTCTGCAGGCACACCTGGAACAGAGTAAGGATTTAAGTGACTGTCGATGTATGGAAGAGCCAGTTTGGAGGAGGAAAAGGTCATGGCTAGAAAAGAAGGAAAAAATGTAGGTCTCAACTTCTCTGAGAAAGGGTGGAATCAGCATTTAATTTTGACAACAAGACCAAAAGAGGTCACTGCTTTTGATAACAGGTTCCTGGAAAATATTTGTCGCATTAAGTTTTAAGTGAGCTCAAACGCAGACCCTAAACTCCTAAAACACAGAGATTATGTCTTACTGAATGCCTGATGCAATACCTAGAAAAGAAGGAAGAGCAAATTCTGGGTAATGTTTTCTTGCTGCTGCGGGACAGATGGTGCCAAACCACACTGGAGTTTGGTTATTTGAGGAACTGTTTCATGGATCCAGAAATTTATCACACACTGATCTTAAGTGCTGTGTTGGCTTTTATGCCCCCTGTTTTCCTGGCTGTTCGGATTTGATTCCAGCCCTTTTTTCCTTCCTTCTAAGTTCATCTAAGCATGTTTATTCTGGAAACAAAAATGCACATTTCCAGTCTGGAGAGGCTGATAACTGGCTTATGATCTCCTGACACAGTATTTTGTGGCCAAGGGGAGCAGAAGGAAACCGGTAGAGGTCACCCCAATCTTTCCCTGAACAGTCACAGGGCACTGAGTGGCTTAGTTACAGACCCTGTGCTCCTGGTTGCCTCCGGGTTCTCCCGCATAGATTGCTCTTGCTTGTGTGTGTGTTTCCTCTGCAGCTTTCGTTAGGAAGCAAGATGATTGTCTCTTTGAAGAAGAGTCTGTGTGTGGTTTTTAAGGACACTTTAACTAGGTCATCTTTTCTCGACAGACTAGGAAACTAATTCATAGCATAAAACCTCTAACAATTCTCAAATCAGAGCCCATCACTAATTCAATAAACAGAAGCCAGACAGCCGTAAATGCTGATAGCTTTCATTAGAGACCACAGGACAATTTAATTTCTTAGTATCATCACCCATATCACTCTTTCCTTGATTTCTTTACTGTTTTGGTGACACACATAAAGGTTTGGGTTTTTGTTGGTGATGAGTTGTTGTTTTTTTTTTTCTTTAAAGAAACAGGAACTTGCTGTTTTGCCCAGGCTGGAGCGCAGTAGTGTACCGGTGATCCTCCTTCCTGCCTCAGCCTCCCCAGCAGCTGGGACTACAGGGGCTTGCCGTAACACCCTATTGTCGCTAGAGTTTTGAAAAGAGACGCATATATTAAGTTATCTTTAGTTTTACATTGTAGAACCAGTTGCTTAAAACTGATAAAATAGAAAGCCACCTCTGGTGTTTACCAGAAGGTCAACTTTTGCGGATCAGGGTACATGGAACCCCTTTTCACATACAGGGGAGGGATTAAAAAAAAGATGGTGATCTTCTTAGGATATTTATCTGTGGCTGTAATTCCAGCTATATCTTCTATAGAGAAAAAGTGTGTTAGACCACTGAGTTCTGCATGCATTTCCTCAGCACTTTACTATGAAATGTCTTACGTGTACAGAAAAGCTGAAGGAATTTTATGGTAAACAGCCACGCATCTACCATCTACGTTCCACCGTTAACATCTTGCAGCCATTGATGCAACTTTTTTGAAATTCATTTCACAGTAAGTTTGTACATGTATTTTCATTTGTTAAAACACTCACACGGAAACAAAGAAAGCAGCATAAAGAGGAACAAATCCACAAAAAATTTGCATTTGCTTTTTTGAACCCATTTTATCGCAGTTAATGACCCAAGAATACCCGTCTAATACTCTTGTTGCTGGTGTTTCTGTACTTCTCCTTCTCCTTTTAAGCTGTTCCCCAGAATGCTCGGGGCCACAGTTGCTAGCCAGGCAGGTTTCCTGTAGTGCCCACTGCCGGATATCCACGTGTCTTATTCATCTATCTATGGGAAATGCTTCCTGTGGCTCCTCTGAAATGTCCACCCCTCTCTGCTCTGATGAGAGAGCAAGATTTGTTAATGAACCACACCACTTCCTTCGTGAATATCCTCCAATCTGTCTAAAGTGACCAGACAGGTGCACATCTTTCTTTAGTGTTTGGCTTCTATTAAATCAAAAATTGAAGGTAATGTTAGAGAATTTAGCCTGTTTGGCTCACAAATACAAATGTTGCTATTATTGAATACTGATTCTTTCTTTACATGTGTATATATATTTATTTATTTATATTTTGCAGAGTCTTTTTTTTTTTGGCCGGGGCTGGGTTTGAACCCACCGCCTTCAGCATATGGGGCCAGCACCCTACTTCTTTGAGCCACAAGTACCACCCTGATGCTTTCTTAAAAATAAAAATAATCTTCATGGGAAGAAGTCTATTTGAATTTTTAAAATAAGTGTAATTCCCTTTTCATAGAAGAAAAAAACATGCACACAACTTGGAGACATTTTGAAGGACTAAGATTCAGGGTTAACCTCCACTCTTTGTAGGAGATTTTACAATGACTATTTGATAAGAGTCAGAGGAACGCGGTCAGGTTGGCTTCCCTCCAATTCTCACCCTCCTCCTCTAACTTCTTTAAAAGCACAATTTGAACATGAGTAATGTAAGGAAGTCAGCTCCTGATAACAAAACAGAATTCCCAGGTGGTAAAATCCTATTCATTTCACTCCCCTACCTGCAGCTGGCCCTTCTCTTTTTTACACATCACTGTGTACCATACGCTTACTGATGCAAAACTATCTCATTGTCCCTTCAAGGAACTGGCATTTTGCATACTTAGTAAAACCAGCAACAATTGTTAGCCTTGGGATGTATTAGATATCTGAAGTTTTTATCTTTGAAAAGTACCTTTACAAAATGTAGCATAATCACTCTATACAAAGGATTGACTAATATGTGTTAAGGATTCTATTTTTCTTTTGATTAATAATATCATCAAAGGGCTCACCCTGTAAAAATCTGGTTTCAATCATGTGAACCACAAGGGTGAGGCTTGTTTATTACATATAATTGATAACCCACAAGCTTCGTTCAACTCCTATGAGGTAATTCTTTGAACCTAAGTATGTATAGGAAAGGATATGTATTTGGGGAAGAAATTAGAAACCTACAGTACTTTCATGGGAAGACATTTGAATTATAATGAAATTTGTTTGACACCCTGAGGCACTTAAATCAAAGGATAGTAACTAGTTGTTTCTTGTCTTGTGGGTGATTTCAATTTATGTTCTCTCTACCTAAATAACCAGACTAGGAGGCATCCTCTTTCTTTTGACTTAAAATTAGCATTTCAGGAGAATGTAAAAATTTTTCCCTGTCCAGAGAAGGAAAAACGATAGAGAATGTAGTTCATTCAACTAATACGCATGGATGGATGGCTGTGGTATATTTTGTTCGCAATAAAAATGATCTTAGTGGTAAAAAAAAAAACCAATCTGAATTTTGAAAATAAATATAATTATCTTCTTATAGAAGCAAAGGATTTTTTATTTTTTTCAGCCTTTTGGTTGTGCTTTAAGTGTGATTTTATTTCCGATAGTATTTATAACAGCATTTTCTGAAAGATAATCTTTCATAGGTATTGGTATCCAGGATATAAAATCTATGCTCACTTATCGAACAGGTGATGAGCTCCAGGAGGCAATGAAGGAAAGTTCCTCAAATAAGCAACATCCAGTTAAAACCAAAGGGGTGTTTATTTCTTTGAAAATTCTGGACATTTTTCTTTAAATTCCATCTGTCAAACAGCAAAAAAAAAACATTGTACTACTCAGTGAGGCCCTAGAGGAAGGGAAGACTTTGGAAAGTCAAAGTCACAAGAAAATAAATAATTCCCACCCACGGTACACCATAACCCCATTTGGAACATTCCAGTTTGAAAGCAAAAGCCAAAGAAATGCTTACATTCTGCTTCTATGGAAACCAAGGAAAAGAAATCAAATATTTTGGTTGGATTTGAGTGAAAATCAGAAGCTTAGACATGCATTGGATGGTTCTAATTTGCTCTTTTAATAGGTCTCAGATTTTCACATGAAGGCCAGATCCAGAAGTAAGGTTTTATCTAAATTCTGGTCAAGTGTGCTTGTAAACCCATGCGATGATCAGCAGTAGAGGCTTTCACCAGTGTACGGACACTGTAATGTTTTTGTTTTTCAGAATCAAACAAGAAATCAGTTAGCAAAAAGTTTTAAATCAGTAAAGTAAGTAAACCAGTCGTTCAAGGGAAAAAATATACTGATGATCAGTCTTTCTGTAATATCTTTTGATAGCTTTTTAAAGATGCTGGTGAAATGTTTGATCAACATCTGATAGAGTCAAATAATTGTGGGCTGATATACTTTTCTGATCATAAAATTGTCCCTAGTAACTAAGTCCTCACACCTTTCCTTCCTTAATAAACAGAAAAGAATGAAGAAGAGGAACAAGAAGCAAAAATGGAACTTAAACGCAGACTCAGCAGAAAGGTGATGAAATTGTGATTGTTAATGAACACGTGTATTTTGAGATATATTTTGTTTTTTAAAAAATACAGGCGCCAGCCACATACACCTAAGGTGGCGGGTTCGAATCCAGCCCAGGCCCACCAAAACAACAATGACAGCTGCAACCAAAAAATAGCCAGGCGCTGTGGCAGGCGCCTGTGGTCCCCCCTACTTGGGAGGCTGAGGTAGGAGACTCGCTTGAGCCCAGGAGTTGGAGGTTGCTGTGAGCTGTGATGCCACAGCACTCTACCCAGGGGGACAGC